GACCTTTCCAGGTCGCCCCTTCCGCAACGTGGGCCTGAGGAGAAGCATGCTCTGACACTAATTGTTATAACCCTTAGGTAGAACTCATCCCCAAAAGTTAGCTTGTAGCGAGAGGGTGCCCAAGTGGTTATAAACCTACATGCTAAGCCCATACTTTAACAATGTGGGACTCAACTAGGATCCTAACAGATAGCTGATGGTTCTTATTCACCCATTACGGGTAAAGGTTTGATCAATTTAACAAAAAATATAGCACTCAAAGCTGTACTTCATGTCCCGAAACTTGCTTGCAATCTTTTATCTGTAAGTAAATTGTCTAGAGATTCTAATTGCCGTGTTGTTTTCTTTGAATCTCACTGTGAATTTCAGGAGCATAACTCGGGGAGGATGATTGGCAGTGCTAAAATGGTAGATGGTCTTTACTACTTTGAAGATGGAATTTCCAACAATAAAAAAGCTCAAGGCTTGAGTAGTATTAGTTCTATCCCTATTAAAGATCAAATAATGCTTTGGCACTATAGGCTAGGGCACCCTAGTTTCCCTTATCTAAGAAAATTGTTTCCTGATTTGTTTAAAGGACTGGATTGTTCATCCCTTTATTGTGAAAACTGCATTCTATCAAAAAGTCATCGTTCTAGTTATCCTTTAAAATCTTATCAAGCCTCACGGCCATTTTATTTAATCCATAGTGATGTGTGGGGTCCCTCGAGGATCAAAACAATGTTTGACAAAAGATGGTTTGTTACTTTCATTGATGACCACACACGTTTATGTTGGGTCTACTTAATGCGTGAAAAATCAGAAGTTGAAAATCTTTTTAAAAATTTTTATGCAATGATTGAAACACAATTTCAAATAAAAATCTGCATACTCCACACAAATAATGGCATTGAATATTTCAATGAAGTGCTAGGAAGTTTTTTAAAAGAAAAAGGGATTCATCATCAATCCATTTGTGTTGATACACCTTAGCAAAATGGTATTGTTGAGAGAAAAAATAAACATTTACTTGAGGTTTCACGTGCTCTCATGTTTTCAATGCATACTCCTAAATATCTATGGGGAGAGGCCATTCTAACAGCATGTTACCTAATTAACAGAATGCCTATTCGTGTTCTAAATTATACTACTCCGTTTGAGTATTTTAAGAAACAATCTGACTTCAATCCAATAACACGACTCCAATCCAACCTCCCTTTAAAGGTTTTCGGCTGCACTGCCTTTGTGCTTTTACCAAGTACAAATCGATCAAAACTTGACCCTAGAGCTGAAAAATGTGGATATGCTTCAAATAAAAAGGGGTACAAGTGTTTTAATCCAAAAACAAAGAAAATTTTTGTCAGCATTGATGTTACTTTTGTTGAAAAACAACCTTATTTTCAGAACAATTTTCTTTAGGGGGAGAAGGAACATGATGAAGAAAATTTTTGGGAAATTCTTCCAACTCTTTTACCTAAACCAATTACTTTTGAATCATCACCCATGTCAAAACAAGATGCTAATATTACTTCATATCCGAATAATAGTGATGTTCCCAACCAAAGTCTTGCCAAACTTAGTTGACTCTTCGACAAGGGGAGAAATACTACCTACAGTTCCAAGAGAATCTAACTCAGAGCTTCTGGTTTATTCTAGGAAAAGAAATCATCAAAGAGGAGGAGATCCATCTATTATCATAGCACAAGATCAATCAAAATCTCCGAGCGATGAATTCCTAAAAGGATCAGGTACACAAATTCAAACTTTGCCAACCATTCCTCCTTCTTTATCATCTATTCTTGAGTCTAATGAAATTGATATACAGCCTCGGGATCTTGATATACCTATAGCTCATAGAAAGGGAACCCGTTCTTGCACCATTCATCCTATTGCAAAATATCTCTCATATCACAAACTTTCGCGTAATTATAGGGCTTTCATTTCAAAGATCTCACACTTGATTGTTCCAAGAAACATTCAGGAAACACTTAACGATCCAGATTGGAAATTGGCTATGATGGAAGAGATGAATGCTTTTAGAAAAAGTAGAACGTGGGAAGTAGTGGACCTACCCAAAGAAAAGAAAACTGTTGGTTGCAAGTGGGTATTTACCATAAATTGTAAAGCCGATGGAAGTTTGGAGAGATATAAAGCGAGGCTCGTAGCAAAGGGATTCACACAAACTTATAGAATTGACTACCAGGAAACATTTGCTCCAGTAGCAAAAATGAATTCAATACGTGTACTGTTGTCATTGGCAGTCAACTCCAATTGGCCCTTATATCAGTTGGATGTAAAAAATGCCTTCCTAAATGGCGATATGGAAGAGGAAGTGTTTATGAGCTTACCACCTGGTTTTGAAGATAAGTTTGGCTAAGGAAAAGTTTGCAGACTTAAGAAATCCCTGTATGGTCTTAAACAGTCTCCTAGAGCGTGGTTTGAACGTTTTGGGAGAACTGTGAAAGACTATGGATACGGCCAAAGTCAAGCAGATCATACCATGCTTTATAAACATACAGAAAAGGGCAAACTATCTATTTTAATTGTTTATGTGGATGATATAATCATGACAGGAGATGACATAGAAGAACTAGCAAGGTTGAAGAAAAAACTAGCTGATAACTTCGAAATCAAAGATCTTAGAGCACTGAAGTACTTTCTCGAAATGGAGTTTGCCCGATCCAAAGAAGGTTTGTTTGTAAACCAATGGAAATATATCCTTGACCTACTTGGAGAAACAGGACTTCTTGGCTGCAAGGCTGCTGAAACTCTGTTAGGAACCTAATATTTAGAAGTCTTTTTCAATAGTCTTAAGGAGAGTATAAATAGGGAGTTTAGTTGCTAGGGAGGAGAGGATCAGATTTGTGGAGAATTTCTGGTGTTTCAGCTGTTAGCTTGGGAGGTTGTGGGGTTCCTCAAAAATCCCTCTCTATCTTTATTTTCTTGTATTTTCCATTCTTGCCGATTGTGAGATTCGTTGAGCTCACTGATGTTAGTAAATTGATTGATATTCAATAAAGAAACTATTAGTTGGATCCCATTCAAATACTTGCTGGTTTTTCATTTCTTTTGAGCTCAGGATCCTAACAAACTCCAATCGATGCCAACTTAAGGCTTGAAGCTGCTAAACCCGAGGAAGTAATCGACAGAGAAAAATACTAGCGACTGGTGGGAAAACTCATCTACTTATCACACACACGTCCAGACATTGCATTTACAGTAAGTATGGTGAGCCAATTCATGCACTCACCTGGGCAGGAATACTTCGAGGTTGTCTACAAAATTTTAAGATACCTAAAGGGGACTCCAGGAAAAGGTTTGCTGTTTAAAAACCGTGGACATTTACAGGTTGAAGTCTATACCGATGCAGATTAGGCAGGAAGCACGACTGACAGACGATCAACTTCAGGCTATTGTACGTTTGTTGGGGGAAACCTTGTTACTTGACGAAGCAAAAAACAGTGTGTAGTTGCAAGTAGCGCAGAAGCAGAATTCAGGTCACTGGCTCATGGAATTTGTGAAGTAATTTGGATAAAGAGGCTCCATGAGGACTTGAAGATTTCTCCTAGTTTACCCATAAGGGTCTATTGCGACAATAAAGCTACTATCTCAATTGCTCATAATCCAGTTCTCCACGACAGAACCAAGCATATTGAGGTGGACAAACACTTTATCAAAGAGAAAATAGAAAACGGCCTAATTTGCATACCCTATGTTCCGACTACTGAACAAACTGCTGATATACTCACTAAAGGACTGCACAAAAAGGAGTTTGACAGGTTGATAAGCAAGCTGGCTATGGAAGACATCTACAAGCCAGCTTGAGGGGTAGTGTTGAAATATTCAGTGATTAAATTCACCAGATTTTAGGGATTAAATTAGCATGTAAATATGAAAAAATTAGAATTAGTCAACTACTAGAAACCAAGAAAGAAATCAGTATAGGCTAATTTAGTTAGTTTCCTTTTTTCCGTTCCCTAAGTGTATACTCTGTAAAGGTCGATGACAATACAATTCATTCTTCTCATTACCTACGTTTATAATTATCCACTCTGCATAACCACTCACATTAAACCCATAATGATCTTCACAAAACCAACCACATCTGATTTTGGTGCTAAAAGAGATAATGCCGTTTCTTTAGCATTGTTGCTCTCCACGTGATAAAATTATCACATTCATTCTCTTTGAAAGTCAAATCAACCACTAATTAAAAGATTCATATTATTCCCATCAGGTCTGAATCCTTGCAGCACCTTATTTCCATATTCAAGTCTGAATCCGTGTACAACACCTTCCCAAAACAACCCAAACCTCTCCATGTGATTAGATTTCCTCCTCCATTAATTTGGATTTGTCTACCCAAATGTGCTGCCCTTTTTCACGTAATTATCTCTCATATTCGAATCATGGTTCGTGACATGGTTCGAATCATGGTTCGTGACATGGTTCGAATCATGATTCGTGGCTCGCTACAATGTTTTCTCTCACAAAAAACACATGTAAACCGATAATGGTTCTAAATCCATGAACCAAACATTCACTTAAAATTTAGCCTATAAAGTAACTTGTTCGACTCGAACCCGCGATCTTGGTACAGAGGCTCTGATACCAATTGTTACAAACCCGTAGAAATCACCCTTAAAAGCTGACTTTTAAGGAGAAGACACTAACGTTAACCCACTAAATTCGTAATTATCATATTATTACTCCAACTTTTGGTACGTTAACAAAAATCAGATTTTTGATAAAATGACAGGCAAAATTATAATCACCACATACTCAATCAGTCAATCTCACTCTGCAAGTTAAAAAAAAAAATTCAGAAATCAGAATATTAACGTTAAAGAGACGCATTCCATTTTGTCATAAACTAAATTTTTTATTGTGCTTGGTATAGACATAAGAACTTGTTGTAATGCGCATTGTCTATTCTTAAAAATAAAAATAAAAAACTATTCTCTAAAAAAAAAATCATTATCGGACATAAACAAAAAAAAAACTGTTTTTTTAGTACTGACCGGGAAGATAGGATTTGACGGAGAATTGATCGGAGAGTGGAGATCGGCGGGAGTTGATGGGATGAGTGAGGAAGCAAGAACAACGGGCCACCACCGCCATTGGCATTGCTGCTTCGGATAATAACGCAGAGTTCCTCACTGGCCTTTCCAAGGATAAGTCACGAATAATACAATCTGCTTGACAATCTAAAGCAACCTTGATTGTGAATGAAATTACGCTACATGCCATTCAGAGATTCAAAATCATTATTTGCAACCGTACTCCTCAAATTTTTCGTTCATTGACATTGCATCCCCCTGTTTTTCCTTTCGGCCAATAACCTCTGAAATTTTAGGATTATTTCTATCTGTGCCCCTCGATTTTTTTTTTTAAAATTCATTTGACCATTTAAATTTTACAAACTCTCACATTGTCCCTTATATTTTAAATTAATCTAATTTCATCTTCTATCTTAGAAATTTTTATTAGCAACAAACAAGAAAATGAGCGAGTGCAATTAACGTCTTTTTATTTTTTATTTTTGTGAAAAACAAAAAAAAATATTATATAATCGCACTTAATTTATCATTTTTTTCATTGTTATTAAAAGAAATATTATAACAAAGTAGACAAACTAAAAACTATTCATAAAGTTTAAAAGGCCAAATTTAAAATTTTCTAGTTTAAATGTGATAAATACCTCTAATTAATAATTGTTATTTTTTTTAAAACTCATTTATTTTGTTGATTTAAATTTTTAATTTAAGTTGAGATGTGAATTTATGTAAATTTTTTTTATTATAATAAAAAAAATTAAATGTGACTATTTTAAAATTTTATTATTGTAGTAAAATTTAAATGGACGAAATAAAACGGACTTTAATTTTTTCCCCTAAAAGAATTGTTATTTTTTATACCCCTAAATGCGTGTCGTTTCTCGTCTTCTTAAAGCCAAGACGGTGCGCGTTGGGTGCGTTTCGGTTCAAGTCGCAGCAGTTTGTATGCTATTGCAGTGCAGACTGCAGTCTTCCATGTCTCTTTCTTGTCCAAGTTGAGCATCCCGCGCTCGAAGCTCCTAGGGTTTAAGCTTCTGCAAGTTCTGAAGTTACTGAGATTTAGGGTTTATCAATCGCGTACTTCGGTCATTAGCGGAATATGGACGTCGAAATGGACGCTTCTCCGAGCTACTTCGACCCGGAAGATCTCACCATCAGAGAGCAATATCGCCGATATGGGTACGGCTCCAAAAACCTTGTTTACTTTCTCTTACGTTGTTTTCAATTAACGGGTTTTTAGGTTTTGTTCTTAAAGTGTCTGGTTTCCACTGCATTGGTTTTATTCCAATTGATTGTCACCTGAAAAGAATTGATTGGCTACATTTTTATGATTAGGATTTAGGGGGTTTGAATTTGTTCAATTGGGAATTTTGACATACACATTCTTCAAATTGTCATGCTTAAGCATAAAATCGTTAATCGAAGCCTGTCTCAAAGATTTTAGTCACGTAGTAATTACCCGAGTAATCAATTTTGCACTTCCCCATTTTGCTGTTATATCTGGGTTCTGCTCATATGTGGATTCCGGTGAACATGTTCTTTTGGGGGGTTTTGGAACTCTGACTAAGTGACTTTATTTATCAGCTCTGATTATCTACATTAAAATTCCATTTCTTATCCGTTAATTGGTCCATTCAAACATATTGTTGCACTTAAAGCTGTAATATATGCAGGAAAAGACCCTCGGGATCAAGCATATCGCCTCACCGAGAAAACTCGCCTTCAAAGTTCAGTGAATCGAGGTTGCTATATGATGGACATGATATCCATAGCCCGACTAATGCTGCACTCATTCTTGAAAATATCAAAAACGAGGCCGATAGCATAGATGCTTCTTACTCAGAAGGAACACCTTTAAAGACACATTTAGCTTTAAAAAGGAGTTTGTCTTACGAGGGTCATGGCATTCCAGAAGTGGATTTTGGTTTTGATTCGGTGCGCTCTTCACTAAAAGCTTGCAAACGCGAGGATGAGACGCTGACCGATGGTGGAGACACAACATTTACTTTTTTTGCCTCTCTTCTTGATTCTGCTCTTCAAGGTGTTCAAAGCAAGCTTATATTTTAGTGCACCTAAAGTTTGGATTTCTCTTTACTATTATCCTGCACTCGTTTCCGATGTTCACTAATCTCTATATTTTCTTGAGATCATTTTGCAAATTTCCGTGACATACATTTTATAGTTTTGGCATTACATAGATATAAGCTAAGTGCCTATTTATATAGGGTGACTTGCTTGACCATGATGTTAAGTAGTGACGTGTTTGGATAATGCTCTCTAATAAAATTTCATAAATTTTAAAATATATTTTGTATTTGATTCGATCTCATAGTTATTTTCATTATCAGGACCCGTATTGCAATCTCCTCTCAGTCAAGATTGGCATATATGTTTTATTTTAACTATTTGCATAATATATTTTTTTGTACATTTTGTTTGCAGGGTTGATGCCTATTCCTGACCTGATACTAAGATTTGAGAAATCCTGTCGAAATGTTTCCGAGTCAATTAGGTATATCCCAATTACTGCTAATACTTTAGCATCATATGCTTGTAAATTGATATGTAATATTCGACTGGTATATTCATAACTCTAAACAGGCATCCTGCCTTTTTTAATTATTTTTTTAAAATCTAACTGGCACTAGCAGCACTTCTAATAATTTTGAGTGTTGATTTAATTTTTATGTTCTTTTCAGTTAATAAGAGATTTGTTTTGAGTGAAACTGAGCCATGTTGTTTAATCTAATTCTCTAATGTCTTTTTGGTGCTGAATAAATATATTAATTTCTTTTGGTAACCACTTCATTTGTCATCATGGTATCGCTGCTATAGGTATGGCTCCAATGTACGGCATCGTGTTGTAGAGGACAAGCTAATGAGGCAAAAGGCCCAGCTCCTTCTTGATGAGGCTGCTTCCTGGTCCCTCTTGTGGTACCTCTATGGAAAAGGTAATGAACTCCTACCTAATACATTCCTACTAGAAGCAATGTTTGCGCACACACTTACACACAAATGTAACAGAGGATGTATGCATTGCTAAGCTGTTATAACATTGGAAGATGGTTTCAAATGGTTTGACTCAACAATTATGTTGCGTTTGATGTCTTGTGTGTTCCGTTGTCTTAAAATTGATGAGAAACACATGAAGATAAAGGTCCCGGCCCCATAAAATACTTCGCCACAGATACTTGTGTGTGTGTCAAATCTTATTTTGTCCTTGAAAAGAAAGTTCTATAGGAAAGGTCCCGGCCCCATAAAATACTTCGCCACAGATACTTGTGTGTGTGTGTGTCAAATCTTATTTTGTCCTTGAAAAGAAAGTTCTATAGGACTGTAATCCGCCCAGCTATGTTATATGGTAGTGAATGTTGGGCCATTAAGAGACAACATATATCTAAGATGAGTGTGGCAGAAATGCGTATGTTAAAATGAATGAGTGGCCATACGAGAATGGACCGCATAAGGAATGAAGTCATTCGTAGTAAAGTAGGTGTAGCACCAATAGAAGATAAGGTGCGCGAAGGCCGCTTGAGGTGGTTCGGGCATGTCCAACGTAGACCGCTAGAAGCACCAGTTCGTGCTTGGGAGGACATTCTTATACCTAATAGTAGGAGAGGGAGGGGTAGACCAAGAATTATGTGGACCGAAGTCGTTAGAAAAGACATTCTAGATCTAGGCCTTCAGGAAAGTATAATTTCGAACAGAGCCATGTAGAAAAGTGAAATCCATATAGCCGACCCCAAGTAAGTTGGGATTAAGGCTTGTTATTGTTGTTGTTGTTGTTGTTGAGAAATCCACAATTTTTTTTTAATGAGTCATATGACGCACTGCATATTTCTCTTGACAGATTTTCTGTATATATTGTTCCTTACTCTGGGAATAGTTGTTTGGAGGGAAGACTTGAAAGGAAAAGCATTCTGGTCTCTTATAGGGTTGATAATTTTTAGTTCCTGGAATTATAAATCAGTTCCATAGGACACCTTCACAATTACTACCCATCTGTGTTTTTGTTGGTTTTGGCTGTTGTGAATTTTTCCATTCGAGCTTTAGGTTTTGGGCCTGACACTTTTGATAGGAACTTGTTAGTTGGTTAGAGAAGTTAGTAGTTTGTTAGAAAGGATGTTATTAGTTAGTTACTGTGGACTTTAGTTGGGGAGGGAATTAGTTAGAGAAGGCAGAGGATATTAAAAGGGGGGTTCGGGAATTGAGACAGGGGAGGAAATTATTGGAGTCTTGTTGAGGAAGTCTTGGCTAATGCTGAGCAGGGGAGATTGGGCAGTATCTCGAAGAACTGTTCTTGTATTTCATTTCTGTTAGTCAATAAAGATCATATTCGTTCTTTCAATTCTTTCTAGTTGAATTCTATATTCTGTTCTTATCAACTTTGTTATTCTTCTTGCAGGAACTGAAGATATCCCAAAAGAGCTCATCTTGGTGATGCTTTTATGTATTTATTTATTTCTTAAATGCTTTATCTTTTAGTTGAAAAAAATTGTCCAGTTTTGTTGGTTTTTGTTTTTAGGCTGAGCACATTTGTATAACATGGAATGGTTTGGTCTCATCTGAATTGCATTCACATTCACTTATGACAGTTGCCCCCAACTTCACACTTGGAGGCTTGCCAGTTTGTAGCCGAGGACCATACCGCACAGTTATGCTTGCGGATTGTTCAGTGGCTAGAAGATTTAGCTTCCAAAGCACTTGACTTGGAAAGAAAGGTTTAGCCTTCACATCAGTCGTTTATTTTGGACCCTCTTCTTTGGCATAAAGAGTGTCATCTTGAAGCTTCAGATTTGTGTCCTTTTTGTACTAGAATTTTTTACATGGAATTGTGAAAACTTACAGGTGCGAGGATCACATATTGGTACCTATCTCCCAACTTCTGGAATCTGGCATCATACCCAACGTTATCTTAAAAAAGGTGCCTCCAATACAAGCACTATTCATCACTTAGATTTTGATGCTCCAACACGAGAACATGCTTATCCGCTACCTGATGACAAGGTACTCTTTGCTATTTCATTACCTTGTTCTATCATTGTCCTTGGTTATGGCATGCATGGTGTGTATGTTTTGCTACTGACATAATCACATAAATAAATTTATTTCGATAATAACATGATTTGGGATTGTCAGTGGGTAACTGAAACAAAATGCAGGTACTGCTTTCCCAAAATTGCTTTATAAGTGCAACCTCTCAAAAGCTGTAGATTGTGAAACTTTGTCTGTTTGGTGGAAATCATCATCTGGTTCCTTTATTTAAAAGTTCTATTTTATGTTTCATCTCAACAGAAGCAGGATGAATCTCTTTTAGAAGATCTCTGGGCGCTTCTGAGAGCTGGGAGACTTGAGGAGGCGTGTAACCTCTGTAGATCTGCTGGACAAGTAAGCAAAGTTATAAATGGAGTTATTAGCTTTTTTATATTTTTAGCTGCTCTCTTGATGCATGTTAACATTTTTCAGCCATGGAGAGCTGCAACTTTGTGTCCATTTGGGGGGCTGGACCAATTTCCTTCTGTTGAAGCTCTCTTAAAAAATGGGAAGGGCAGAACTTTACAAGCCATTGAACTGGAAAGTGGCATAGGTCACCAATGGCGTCTTTGGAGATGGGCTTCTTATTGTGCCTCGGAGGTAGAGTTCAAAGAATCATTTCAAAAAAATTTCTTCTCTAGTAGAACAAGTTCATACACGTTCAGTACCAAAATCTGTTGCCTGCATGTCCCTATGTATTGGTAAACTGGACTGCATTTTGCTGCAAAAGCTTTCAAAGCTATGTACATATTTTACCTTTATGCTGGTTGTAGATATGATCTATGCCCTGACACAGTTTTCCTTGTTCTTAGGTTAGTGCATATGCAGTTTTTTTTAATATATAATATATTCAATATGGTGTCCGTGTATGTGCTTGAATTGGTAATTAATCTATGTTCATACCGTTCTCTCATTAATCAATGTAAATTTTCCTATCTATCTCGCTAGAAAATTGCTCATCAAGATGGTGGGAAATTTGAAGCGGCTGTATATGCAGCACAATGTAGCAACTTGCAGCGCATGCTTTCTATCTGCACTGACTGGGAGGTATGTTTCTTCCTATCTTTACAGACTGATACAAGTCACTAGCTAGTGCTTTCCTTTTGTAGGTTTATTTTGTGAGGATCTTTGGCTATTACTTTCCCATGATTGAGATACCCCCATTGGGTCAGAGGATGCTTTCATTTTGGAAATTGACTTTTCTATTTTTTCTTCTACTCATTACTAAATCCAATCACATCTCTTGTAGTCAGCGTGCTGGGCAATGGCAAAGTCATGGCTAGAAGTTCAAGTGGATTTGGAGTTGGCTAATTTGCAACCAGGGAGCCTTGATCAATTTAGAAACTCTGGCGATGTAATTGATGGAAGTAGTGATCATGCATCTCAGCGTTCAAATAGACCAGAAAACTGGCCGCTCCAAGTTTTGAACCTGCAACCACGACAACTGTCTGATCTTCTTCGGAAGCTACATTCGGGGTATGCTATGGATATAATTTTCATTCAAAGAGTACTCTCTCTCTCTCTCTCTCTTATTCTCTTCATCATCAAGATGCTCCTTGCTAACTAAATATTAATCACTATTGATTAGGGAAATGGTGCATGAAAGTGTTACTCGGGCATGCAAGGATCAACAACGCCAAATTGAGGTATACTAGTGAAGCTTGTTTTCAATTTCCTTGTTCATCGCAATACTGGTATACATTCGATAAAAGTGTCGAACCATTTTGCTTAAGAGTAATTATGCTAGTGGCTGTGGGCCTGACTCGGAAGGTTTGTTTGTGTTTTTGTTTTTGTTTTTTTTCCTGTGTGAATATATGTGCATAAATTAACGTTTCCTTTGTCACAAGGCATTACTCCTCTGAAGGTAACAATCTTCTTTTGCTAACATTTTTGTCCTACTTATTATCTCTACCTTTGATTGATCTCTTGTCACTTCTTTTTCAACAGATGGTTTTGATGTCAGGTGATATACCACGTCTGCTGGACCTCATATGGTCGTGGATAGCACCTTCAGACGATGATCAGAGTGTATTCAGGTAATGTTATTCTAGTTGCCTGGTCTGGATGCTAAGGTCCCGGCTACATCTATTCACTGGATCATTCAACTTATGCTTTGTGTGAGAACAAACTGCTAAGAAAGCTATGTTCACTGGTTTCTCTTTCATGGTGAAAAGCCAGGTTAAGCAAAATAGCTATTAAGCTGTCCAGCGCCAGCAGTAATGCAAATGTGCATTGCCTTAAAATACATGATTGTTCTTTTCACTTCCAAACCACCCCCC